GGTATCACTACGGAAGTAGATTGCCCAACCTTCCTTCCGAGGAGTGGCTGGTGGGTTTGAACCGCCAGCCTTCTGGTTAGCAGTCATGTCGTCATGACACTACGCTACCAGAGTTCCTGGACCATGAATAAGAAGACGGAAAAAGAATTGATATATTTGAATTATTATATTGGCAAAGGGTTTTGAATATATTATGAACAACCAGAAGAACAAAGAAATCTGTCTTGAAAGAACAACCTGAATGCTGCTCCTAGAAGTGAAGACGGAGAGACTTTGTCTGACACGCTTCAGACATGTTATCAGGAAGGACCAGTCCCTGGAGAAGGACATCATGCTTGGTAAAGTAGCAAGTCAGAGAAAAAGAGGAAGACCTTCAACAAGACGGCTTGACACAGGGGCTGCAACAATAGGCTGTAGCATAGCAACAGCTGTGTTGATGGTGTGGGACCAGGCAGTGCTGTGTTCGATTGTCCATAGAGTCACTATGAATCAGAATTGACTTGATGGCACCTAACAACGGCAACAGCAAGGCTACTTTGAAAGGAACTGCGGTGGTTAAGTTTGTGTGTCAACTTGGCTGGACCTGGGTGAGCGGCTGGGCAGCTGGATGTAGTATTCCCCAGGATGAGACTGGTCATCAGCTCCATGGTACAATCTACTGTCAGCAGCTGAGTAGCTGCCTTCGGATGCGGTCTGCTTCCTGTGTATAAGGAGAAGCCTTGGGGAATGGTCTCTAGCTTATGGCACACTTGAACCCTGTATGTAGCTGAGTCATTGTTCAGCAGCCTGCCATGCTCTGCCAATCTTGGGACTTTTAATGGACTTAATGACCTGCCATGTGGTTTGGTAATATCAGGACTGTGCCTTATTACTTGTCAACATTGGGCTTGTCAGCCTCAGTGGCCACCAGTTGAGTAAAGAAGTGAGCTCAGATTATCAAGTTCAAGACTTCACTGCCTGTCTTGGTTCCAAAGTTAGTTATGGAACTAAAGATGCAGATTTCTGCTTCTTATCCTTATGGGACAGGAGAGGAGGAACCAGAGAAAAAGAAGAAGGTAAAAAAAAAAAAAAAAAATCCTCTCTTTAAGTTAGTCAAAGTTTAATGGGAATACATTGGATGGTATCAGAAAGTATTGGGTTTTCAACGGTCTCATATGCATGAGAAAGCTGGACAATGAATAAGAAGACCAACTGAAGAAGAATTGTCTTGTGTTGGCAAAGAATATTGGCTATACCATAGTCTGTAAGAAGAATGAACAAATACATCTTGGAAGATGTCCAGCCAGAATGCTCCTTAGAAGCAAGAATGGTCAGATTTCATCTCACATACTTTGTTCAGTTGTCAGAAGGGACCATTCCCTGGAGAAGGACATCATGCTTGGTAAAGTAGAGGGTCAACAAAAAAGGGGAAGGCCCTCAACGAGATGGACTGACACGGTGGGTGCAACAATGGGCTCCAACACAGCAGAGACTGTGAGGCCGGCACAGGACCTAGCAGTTGTCCCTTCTGTTACACACGATGTCATTATGAGTCAGAGCTACCTAGATGGCAACTAACAACAACACCAGAAGCAGAATCCAAGAATTTTCACAAGAATTTTTCTCCTGAACCCATGCTCTTACTATATATTTACATATATAATATGAATATATCTATTGGCATATAAATATTTACATATGAAAATCTGCTCATCATATTTCAAATATTTCATAATTTATTTTATTTATGTAGATAATTTGCACAAAATTATTTTTAGCAATCACGACCTATTTCAACCTGTCACCTGATTATCTGTAATTCCTGGGAAAAGCAATTAAGTCTGTCCTGGACTATAGCTATGACGAGCTCTAATTTTATAAGTATCTAAGTTCACATTTAGAATAACATTCTTTTTCTTTTCAGGGATGCTATCTTGTAAGGTTAGGAGCCCTGGTGGCACACTCTGGTGGCACAGTGCCTAAGGCAGTTGACTGCCAACCAGAAGGCTGGTGGTTCAAACTACCAGCCACTCCTTGGAAGGAAGGTTGGGCAATCTACTTCTGTAGTGATACTGCCTTGGAAACCCAAGGAGGGGTCGCTATGAGTCAGGTCCAAC